TATGCAAACAAATAAAAAATCTTATGGCTATAGTAGATTCAAGAGAGTTGAAATAAAAAGTTACTAGTTACCGATAAAATATAACTAAATAAAGTTGAAAGATAAGAGTCTAAAAATGTAACTAGATAAAGTTAAAATTATTTAACTTTTTAACTTAACTTTTATCTTTTTAACTAGACACTACCCAACCTTGCCAAAATCCAAAGTTTATATCTCTCCGCGATCTTACGATAGTCAATAATTATCTACTCTTGTGGCAAAACAATATTTATGTGTCATTTTGAGTAAACATCGTGAAATTCTTTTTAATATGTTTGTATTTTTTGCACATTTACACGTTATTGTGTTTTTTAACAGTTAGGCGGCAGTGTGTACAGCAGCGGTGGTAGCAGTAGTATATGGAGTCCAGCAGTAACAGAGAGTGGTGGAGGATTTCCAAGCGATCATCAGAGGTTAGCGTGGACGACAACTGCTTCCCAGCAGCAATGCTACCAAAATTACTCGTCCTACTACAGCAATATGGAATATCTTTCTCCCACTTCTCAATTAAACGTTGTGGTACAAGAGATAGCTTTATATTTCTTGCTTCTGTTTTTATTTCATAGTGAATTATATTATGTCATTGTAGAAGCAATTTTATAATAAAGAAATAACATAATTTAAAAGAATTAATATTGCATATATTAATAGGACGGTGGAAGTAGCGGCCTTGACAATTCATGGAGCAAACCTAGAGACGAAGGTAGTTCATCCTGGTTTTACAGCAGCGCTGGATGGGGTGACCGAAAGTGAATCACTGAGGATAAAAAAACGGAGTCTGAGTACATATCATCAACGCCAGGGATGGTTATATGACTTGAATTGAAAACTTTGTCGTAACATGATGCCAACTATAATAAGAGGTTGATCTGCTTCCGATGAATTTTGAATTTAGATTCAACATATCTTTAATACGGTCGGCATTCAGACGACATAAAATGCACATACCGATCGTGAGAGTGCCATACGTATCCTCCTGCATTTATTGAAATAGTATAGTTTCAATATGTATATAAGACATTCTATACATACTTCTATATTTATGGTGTAATAATTTTTTGTGGCCTATTATACACATAATTATACATATATGTAATATTTTTTTCAATATTTTGCGACTGAAGTGCGACTGAAGTTCACACATGCATATAATATATGTTACAGTATGCAAACTTTAATACAATAATTTTAATTACATAAGTTAATTTACTTATATTCTTGAAAATATATATCAAATAATAGTAAATAATATCTTCACTCAATATTCGTAAAAATACGAACTCAGTGAAGAAAAATTATGACTTCTCTAGGAAAAAAATAAATTACATTTTAATAGCTCGATAAGCTCAAAATTGTTAATAGTCAAAATTTAATAATATCAATTAGTCATAATAATAAAACAAAATTTGTGGAAAGTTTTGAATATATTTTTAAATATAAACATAAAACTCGTTTCTATGATTTTACTCTTGATCTTTTTTTCCATAAACCACTGCTTTATGTCGTTAACAATATTTAATAAAAAGTTTTGGTAGATAAAAATTATAGTTCCATGTAATGACTTCTTAGTGTGCTATGTATGATTCCGTGTGATTTCCGAAACAAATATGTTAATGTATATAGTATAAATAATTACATACACGATATTCAACAAGATAAGGATCTAGATTATTTCATATAAAAACCAAACATTTGGTTAAAAAACCAAAAGAATCTTGATTTAACTCCTAAAAAATATGCAATGCAAAATAAGTACGCGTGTATGTACACGCGGCAAACATATGTACCATATATTATATAAAAACGATTAAAAACATATGCAGTGGTGGTCATAAAAATAGAATAATATGTAAACATTTAATAAACTAATAGTTATTTTATTCGCCATTTTCATTTGCCGGTAATGTTATTTAGCAACAATTGTTAGTAGCAACAATTCACATATCAGCTAAAAAACATAACAAACTACTCGAAATAAAGTTCAGGGAGAGAATCCTATGTGCTATAAGTAGTCTAGTCATAATAATAAAACTAAATTAATAATGTAATATTTTGTTAATGTAATTTTATTGGATTATTATTAATGTAAGTTTATTAACATAAAAAATTTGGTAAATATTAATATGATTTTATCTAGGTTAAATATAATGAAATTATAATGATAATTAGTCAATTACCTAAAATTGCAGCAACACTGGAATCAACCATTTGATGAAAACTCCAAGAATGTAATTTAAATAATACAGCTGCTAAAAAAATTTTACATTTAAGATTGAAGAATTTGAAATGCAAATTTGCCATGTGAAATAAAGTGGTTTAAAAGAAATTAAAAAATAGAGAAATGTTTTATGATTAAACGAAATTAAAATAAATCTGACAGGATCTGATGAAAGATATTTATGTAAGAAGTTACCAAATTAAGTGCTACCAAAGTCTCTCTCCTATACCAGAAAAAAAGTGTAAATAATCACAATCGATTCTCTCGATAATGATTTTTGCTTTTTATCACGACAATGATTGGACGTTTCTCGGATGTGTTTCTCGATTTATGTCGTACAAATATGTATATATACACAGGGTGTGTCATAATTGCCGTCTAACCGCTCGTAGGTAGATAGGAGTTATTCTAAGACGAAAAGTTCTATACCACTTTGCAATGAACAAGATTCGCAATAATTAACGAAATATTAATTAATAAAAATCCGCTAATTAGCGTGCATCTAGCGTAAGGACAGGCCAGTCTGTCGCGTCGTAGCGACGGAATGAGAGGAGATGATAGAATAACATGTGCATGCATAGACAGCACATAGGCTGCGTTCGGGCAGCGCGCTATCCGCGATATTGTATTCCGTCATCGCGACAGATTGGGCTGTCCTTACGCTGGATGCACGCTGATTAGCGGATCTTTATTAATTAATATTTCTTTAATTATTGCGAATCTTCCAAAGTGGTATAGGACTTTTCGTCTTAGAATAACCTCCTCTTCTATCTACCTACGAGCGGTTAGACGGCAATTATGGGACACACTGTATATATATATACACATATATACAGGGTGTCCGTAAAATTTTGACCAAGCCGAAGTATGGAGATAGATTGAGTCAAAATAATGAATAGAAAAGTGTAACGCGACGTGTGACTCGGCTAATTTCGCGGTCAGCTGATATTCGGCGATAAAGGAGCGATCAACGTTCGAAAGATAAGCCACTGCTCTTCGCGATCAGCTGATCGCGCTCGTTCGTTCACTCCGCCTCTCGTTGCTCTGACAGTCACACACCTACGCTCACAGAGTCAGAATTATCGCTTCTTACGCGCTCATTGGCACACATTTATTACTTTGTATCTCGTTAATTATTGCGAATTTTGCAAAATTACAAATAACTTTTCTATTCAATTTGACTCAATCTATCTCCATACTTCAGCTTGGTCAAAATTTTACGGACACCCTGTATATACTAGCTGTCATTGCGGTGTGTTCACACTGACAAAACACGTTAAAATAAAAATAATAGCGTTCGCCTGTGTTGTGCTACTAGTACACTATAAAGACTGTAAAACATGACAGTGGTAATATAACCTATGAAGCATTTTCATAGTATGGGTCCAAGTGTACGAACACTTATCCCAGACAGCACCCAACGTCCTTTGGACGTCCAATTTGGCTTTTATTTAGTCGAAATGTCCATGAACATTATATGTATATTTTAAGAATGTACATTATATTAGACGTACAAAGTGTATTTACATTTGAATGTTTTAAAACTATCCATCTTATAGCCATTTTATTTTGATATAAATGCTGCGCAATATTTTTCAGTTTTGTAGAACTAAATCCGAATTAATTTAATGGCGCAGTAGTTGAACATAGGGTTAATGATTTTACTACTTCTTTGAGTCCCGTCGTAACTTCAATTTTTTCTATTTCTTATTTTTTAAATTGTATTATTATTTTACAATAATTTTCAATTTGTTTATATTTTGAAGTTATTACAATTATAATAATGAAAAATTAAATAAAAACTGACGTATAATTATTTAATATTTTAACATTGTTTTATTGAAAATAAAAAAAACTAAAAATTGAAAATTAGTGTGAAATAATAGCAAATTCAAATAAAAAGAAAAAATAGAGAAAAAAGAATAGAAACCACGACAAGACTCAATCCCGCGTAACAAGATTATCAATCTTACGCCCTACTTGTTTAACAAAGTGACATATGTATGTAGCTGCACATTACCTACTTTAAATTTGTTTTTAAGTTTTTTAAGTAGGTTGACATATTAAGTAGAGGAGAACGAAGAAACGATGTGCTTAGCGGACGATTGATTATTTCAAACAAGAAAGAATATCTCTAGACATGTATTTGGCAATATGAGTTTTTTAACACAAATATACCGTCAAATACATGATTAGAGATATCATTCTTTCTTGTAGTTACATATGTACAAAACGTCCAATACCTATGTTTTTAATATGTTTTTAAAACATCATAGTACTATCTGAGATAAGAAGGTTAGTTTATTTAAAATTTCATTTGATTTGAATGGATCTATCTTAGAAACACGTACAAATATTTAATGATCATGTCGAAATGTAAGTTTTTGCTGAAATCTCGAGTGTCTTTGTTATTTGTGAGTCTCTTTTAATGTATTTTTCATCATTTTTTTAAACTGATCAATAAGTTTTGAAATTTCTCATTGCAATTTTTCTTTGTTGCGTTAGTTAACAGTTAAAATTTTTATTCTTTCTAATTGACTAATTTTTATTATAATTTTACTATATCTAGGCTAATTAAAATAAAATCATCATCTACCATACTTTTTATGTTAATAAACTTACATTAATAATTTAGCTTTATTATTAGGACTAAACTTCCTATAGCACAGAACACTTTAGAATTCTCTCAACATAAAATGTATTATTATTTCAGCAATAATAGCTGATATGAATTGTTGCTACTGTAAATGTGACATTATCAGCAAGTAAAAATGACGAATAAAATAACTATAAACTAGTTTGTTAATGTTTATATATTATTTTTATGACCATCAATGTATATACATATATGTATATATAAATTATATATATATACACAGTATGTAAAGCATATACAAGTCTATGTACATATGTATCAATCTTTTTGTGTAGAAATGCATTATGTGAGTATCGAAATATGTTACATACTTACTACATCATTCGTCTAATATTGCTCGTCGAATGGTGCAGATGCTTTTCGAAAATTATATATTCGCATTGGTCCAATATTCGACAACTGGAACATGATACCAATTTTATAACATTGAAGTTGTTGAACGTTTTCTTTTTGGAAATTTATTTCGTATCCAAATAAAAGATATACATGTAGTTTATCTTTTATATAAATTTAATAAATTATATACACCGTCCCGTCGTCAAAAAATATGTATTTGAATTATCTGTTGTATGATATTATATACTGTCCTTAGATATTTTCTCTTGAAAGTAAAGCCTACGCTAAAAACAATTATTCTATACATTCGAATACCGTTTTCATACAAGAAATCATTGTTTTGATAACTATAAGATATTCTGTATTTGTTATTTCTGACAATCAACATTGTTATATATACAATTATTTTCTTGAGATTATTAATATACATTTAGTTACACAAATATCTTTGCATTAATATTTATCTTTAATACAACGTACAACATATATTTATCTGTAATTTCTTTTGTAATTACAAACATTGTTTAGTTAATTAAAATTGCAAATTTTATACACAGAAAAATCTATATTGAAGTGTGCAAGAAATGTTTTAAGTTCAATTAGAATGTTTACATGTTACTTTTGTGATAGTAAAAAACTTGTCAATATTATGAATATTTGGAAAAACTTCGATAATAGATTTAACAAAAAATTGAGTTAAATATCGAGTGTACTCTACAGACGAACATTGATAATTTGATTCTAA